GCTGACTCCTACCTGTAGTAGTGATTGTTGACAGGTGCCTCACTGGGGAAGCCCAGCATCCCGCACACCACCTTGCTGTTGTTCCTGGTCCAGCCCTGGTCACACACCTGCCGCCAGTGGCCCTCGTACTTCACCTCCACGGCTCCCTCGGTCACCGGGCTCCGCCGCTTGGCACTGGCAAGGATGGGCTTGAGCCGCACCTCCTCCAGCCGCCGGCCCTGCAGGGTGCATGGGCACCGTGGGCCGGGATTCCTGCCCTGCTGAGCCCACTGCACGTCTTTGTTGGGGGAGTTGGGGCTCAGAGCGCTTAGAGATCACCCCACACAGCCCCCTCACAGGACAGGCCGGGAAACTGAGGCCCAGACAGGGGGAGGCATTCGTCCAAGGCCACGCGGTGAGCATGAGGCAGAACCTTGGTGTGTTTAGGGTCCTTTCCTCACTTTAGAGCAGTGGTTCTCAACCTTCTGGCCCTTTAAATACAGTTCCTCATGTTGTGACCCAACCATAAAATTATTTTCGTTGCTACTTCATAACTGTAATGTTGCTACTGTTATGAATCGTAATGTAAATCTCTGATATGCAGGATGGTCTTAGGCGACCCCTGTGAAAGGGTCGTTCGACCGCCAAAGGGGTTGCGACCCACAGGTTGAGAACCGCTGCTCTAGAGGGAAGCAGGCAGGTCTGCACCCTCCCTGGGGTCAGGACGGGAGCTCTTGGAATTGGGGGGCTTCCACCAGGCATAGAAGAGCCTTCCTGCTCCACTAGGGAGATCTGAGGATGGCCAGACCTTGAGACCGCCAACAGGATCCTTTGGCCCAGGAGACCCCCACCTTAGCCCCGGGGTGACTTAGACCATGGCGAGCCCCCATCCTGGCCTGCAGCATGTAATGGGCCAGGCCCTCTGGCAGTGGATGGTAGGAGCCTGGACCTGCCCTGCCTGCTCCTGTTGTTTGACTTGGGCTGTTTTTAGCTCGGGGTTGTTTGTGCCGGGAAGAGGCAGCAATTGTGGCCAGGCCTTGTGGGTGAGGCAGCCCCTTGCCCCCCTGCTGCCTCCCTTATGGGGAGCAGCTTCAGTGATTCCCAGCAGGCCCAGCCTCTGGTTCCCTGGCCTGCCCTCCCCCCCCCCAAGCTGGGACCCTCTGTCCATGCACCAACACGAGTCGGGGCCAGGATGCTTCTCAGCCCAGGCTCTGCTCTCTTTCCCCTTCCTCCTCCAGGTTCATTACCAGGAGGCTCCCTGTCCCCTGACCCAATGCTTGGCTCAGGCCAGGGCCTGAAAAGCCTCCTCACCTGGGGCCCAAGGGCATTGGAGACTCTCTCAGAAAGGTAGCCGCGCTGGCGCTGGGGTTGGCACACCACCCCGACGTCCTCTGAGTGGCTGCAGTCACTGACACCCCAGCCATTAGACCCGCACTGGCCCAGGGAGCTTTCTGTGCCCACACAGCGCACATTGTCCAGCCAGATGGGTCCTGAGGGGGAGGGGACAGACAGGTGATGCTCAGGGACCAGCACAGAGAGACAGGTCATGAGTTGTGCCTCCTGGAGAGTTATAAACTTTCCTCTTAAACTCTGAGCAGAAAGTGGGGTGGAGAGAGGAGAGGTTTTGGTTCTCCTGGGATTTATTTATAACCTGCTTACTGCCTCCTCTTGGCATCAGGTTCTGTAGAATCTTTTTGGAAAATGCCAGATCAGTCTAGTAATTAGATTAACCTGTTCACCCATTCATCCATCAATCTAGTCATGCAACAACATTTGTTAAGCACCCACTGTGTGCCAATCACTATGTTCAAGGAAGTTAGTTGAGGGGCTGTGATCATGGCAATAGTGGTGGCCTCACTGCAAGCAAGAATGGGAGGCTCAGAGCAGGGGGCACTTCAGCTGAGGCACTCAGGACAGGCCTCATGGAAGAGGTCATTGGGCTGGGAATTAAAGGACGGGTAGGATGTTTTTTAGTAGGAGACTCAGAGAGCCCAGCCCCTGAGAGAAGCCCACTACCATTTCCTTGTCATGTTGCTTGGCAGCTTGTCACTCACCCTCCCCTGGGCCATACTTGGCACTGTGGGCCCAGGTCAGGGCACCCTCAAAGCCCAGCTGGCGGCAGGCTACTGTGGCCTCCTGGAGAGCGAAGTCGTCATCACACACAGTGCCCCACTGGCCCTGGTACAGCACCTCCAGGCGGCCCTCCTCCGGCCTGCTTCCTGGGCCCACCAGCCGCAGCTTCGTGGTACCCGGCGACTGCGACCTGCTGAGAGGGGCCTGGCCCAGGAGCAGGCACAGCAGGAGCAGGGAGAGGGTAGCCGGTGGGGACCACATCATGGTGACTTCACGGACAGCTGAGGCCAAGGCACCTGGGGAATGAGTAAAAAGGACAATGATCACCACCTACCTCTGGCCTCAGGCAGAGACAAAACATGGCAGGGCCCCTCCAAGTGTGTGCATATGTGTGTGTGCGTGCGTGTGTGTTTGCTGGCACTGACTGAGTCTGGGCTCTGAGGTTAGTCAATTTGGTTCAAACCCACCATTCATTAGCCATGTGACCTTGAGTTTAACTTTACCGAGTCTCAAACGCCTCACCTGCAAAGTGGGGATAATAATTCCTATCTTGCACTGTTGTTGTGAGTGTTAAATAAAACACTGTATGTAAAGTGCATAGCACAAGCCTACCACATGGTAAGTGCTCAGTAAACAGTTATTCTTGATACAGTTTTATATGTAAACTAGAGGCCTGGTGCACGAATTCATGCACAGGTGGGGTCCCTCTGCCTGGCTGGCGATTGGGGCCGACTGGGCCAGCCGGCCAGGAGGAGGGACTGCAGGAGGTTGGCTGGCCGCGGGAGGTTGGCTGTGGGAGTGCACTGACCACCAGGGGGCAGCTCCTGGGTTGAGCGTCTACCCCCTGGTGGTCAGTGTGCAACATAGCGACCGGTTGTTTGGTCGCTTAGGCTTTTATATATATAGATAGAGGAGGTGACTTACCCTTGGAGTCATGGGGGAGACCCCAAGGACCAGAAATATCTATGCCAGGGGAACTGCCCTCACCTGCCTTTTGACATTCCCAACACCCTGGCCACCCTCACCACAAAAGGCGCATGGGATGCTGGAGCAGAAAGGGTCATTTGAGGGGAGTCTAGGCCTCTACCACTCATTTGCTGTGTGACTTGGGGATGTCTTTTAAACTCTCTAGGCCCTGATCCTTTATTTTGAAAGTGAGGAGGTTGAACCAATACAGCATGGGGCAAAAGTAGGCTTACAGTTGTTTGTATGGAAAATATACAATAATTAAGAAATAATAATAATAATAATACAAGAATAAACTGTGTTTCCCATATTCACAACTCTAAATCTACTTTTGCCCCACCCTGTATTGTCTAGTATCTCCTTGAGCTGGGAAGTCTGTGATATCCTTACGCCCTTGCTCTAGGTCCAGCTAGGTGCGTGATTTGTACACGGGTTCAACAAACATCTGTGGAATACTGGCTTCAGGCCAACTATTAGGTCAGGTGCTGGGACACTGACGTGAAGATGTCAGTGCTACTCCCCGCTCTCATGAAGCCCAGAGAAGAGGAATTAGGGGAGGCTTTCCGAGAAGGGGCAGTTCACCGGGGCCTTGTTAGAGGAATGAGTTCTCCCAGATGGGAAAACTCTGCATTCCAGGTACAGAGAACAGAATGGGTAAAGGAGGGAAGAGGAGAAGAGGTGCAAGAGCAGAGGGGGGGACAGGGCAGAGGGACAGGCTGGGCCAGTAGATCAAGGACCTTGTGTGTCACGAAGGGTTTGTCCTTCATCCCACAGGAAGTGAGGGACCCTAGGAGGGTTAGGCGATGACCATCCACCAGAGAGAGGGCTCCTGCCTTCAGGAGGCTGTAAGCAGATGCTCTTTGAGTCCTTAACGGGGATGAGGTTGGGGCTGATCCTCTCTCTCTCATGTGTTAGCAGCCTTGGGCCTGGGACTGGGCTTGGAGAGGAGCATCGAGGAGAAGGTTACAGCGGATTAGAGCTGTCAGTGTCTGCAGCCATCAGTGCCAAATTCCTCCATGGCCATGGCCAGGCCCTGCTGCGGATGGGGCTGAGGCTGCCTGGAGCGGTGGATGGAGAAAGTTGGGTTCTTGGCTCCCTGTTCAGGCTTGCACCATAAGAGAGCACGTTCTCGGGGGGGTGGGGGGCTGCCACTCTGTTCCCCACAGGCTGGTATTTGCTGAGAATCGCTCATTCCTTGCTGCCCCCAGCCCCTCTGCCATCAGCTGCCCAGCCTGCTTTGGCCAGCCCGGACTGGGTAGAGTGGGCTCTAGAACGAAGCTCCACTAAAAAGGGGAAGGGACTTTGTGTTGTGCCCCTTGTGCCCAGAATAGAGCAGGTATGGAGGTGGCACCCAGGAAATATCCGTGGTTGCATGGATTTGAGGTGGCATAGCTCAGCACTCAAGTGTACAGAGGGAGCCAGACTGCCTGGCCTCACAATCCACCTCTGTCCCTTGGTGTCTGGGTGGTCTTGGGCAAGTGGTTTAGTTTCTCAGAGCCACCGTTTCCTCTCTGTAAAATGGGGATAATAATAGCACCTACCTCGTAGGATTCTTGCCAAGGTTAAATGAATGAATACATCTTGACCCTTAGGTGAGCAAGCTCTCAACTGACACATTAACTATTAGTAACAGCAACTATAACAGCTGCTATAGCACCATAGTTTGCTTCCAGCTCCTCTTTGGATAAAGAAGGAATGGAGGCCACATCCTAACTTGACAGCAAGTCCCTGGGACCATTCTTGCGACATCCTCCAGCTTTGCCTCTTTTCCCTCTGAGCCCAGGTTCTCCTCTCTCCACTTCCCAAAGCCCTGTGTTGCCTCCCTCCCTTTCTCACTGCTGAAGTCTCTTCCTGCCCTGCCCCTCCTGTAATTCCTTTTCAGACCTAAACACTGTTTTCTTCATGTCACTCCCCACTCAGGAG